TTTTGAAGGGGGCAAAAACTGTGTTTGCTTTTTAAAAAATTTATAGCTCAACAATGATTTGACAATGTGCTAAGCTAAATGTCCTTTTGAGTCTGAATCTCTCATTCCTCTTATCAGCATTTATGACTCCTGAGGAAAGAAATCAGGCCACTCCTCCTGTGGCAATAACTCTTGGATAAAAGTAACGGGATACTTTCCAGTAGTTGGCAAAAGTGGCTCAGACTTGAGGAACCATAATCTCAGGTAACCTGGATCTACCATGAAGTGATAATAGGTCCTTACGGCTACTGAGACCCATTGGCTGCCTAATAATGCAGTGGCCTCAATTCATGAAGAGGCCCTGGATCTTTCTGAATATAAACTCCATCTGCATGATAACCTCTGAAATTGTTATTAGATGAAATGGCAAAAGAATTGTAATTCATCATCAAAGAAAGACACTCAGAATTAAAGAACTCAGTATCTTATTATTGACAGTTCAATTCCAAATTATGGGGACCCTTTAAGACAGAGTAGAACTGCTGCATAGGCTTCCCAGGGCTGCAGTCATTATGGAATCAGACTGAGAAAGCAAATAAATGTGGCCTTTGTAAGGCTGATATTTTCTTTACGAAGCCAGAAGGTGCATAAATACACAAATATTAGCACACTCTTATTTTTGTCCCAGAAAACTCCTCTGAGAGTTTTCGCTGCGTTCAGTCTCTGGCATCATTACTGCCCATCTTGCTTCCTGCAGGCATTGCCATCTGTTTAACTGGTAAAGAGCCCCTTCTCGTCATTGTTCCTATCAGCCAACTCCAAGTAGAGCCCCGTGATTGGCCTCTCTTGGTCTTGTTTATTTGGAATCAGTTCCAGTATCTTAGAGCAGGTGGCTTTACCTTAGCCAGTTAGTTACCTTTGCATTAGCAGTTACTGGAAGGTAAAGGATCTGCAGCACAGAATGGAGCATCTGCTAGTGCCTTGATCTTGGCATTGGAAAGAGTCTAGGGACTTGGAAAGAGTCAGATTCATGATGTTTATGCCCTCCCTGGGGTGCCCTTCCTTCGCCTCTCACCTTCTTCATGCTCTGGCACTTTGAGGTTTAATCCTCTGATCTGTCTTGAGTTTAATAAGGCCAGTAAGTGTGCTTGTGGCAGAACCTCACTGCTTTTATCAGCCTGATAGTAAATAAGCCTCCTTCACTCTGTACTCCAACAAATCATGCCTGACAGTTTTGTGCAGTCACTTAAGCCTGCACACAATTGTCCATCGTCATCTGGGAATATGGTGGTGGGGACAGACATTTTTATGCCAAGAGTCCTCTGAAAATTTCCTCCTTTTTGACACCCTCTTATCATATCTTGAGGGTACTCTGGTGGAGAGGTCTTCTGCAAGTTGCCCTACTAACCCAAAGAATATGATTCTCCAGCAATTTCAGTACACCAGTACCTCTGTGTGAGAAAGATGGGTAATCTTCTTTTGTGCAGTTTACAACTTTGGAAACCGACTGGAGAGTCAACTGAGTTGGTTTCTGTTCACTGGCTGAGGGGGTGGGTGGGTGACATGTTGACTTATGCCTTTTATAACCTAGAAAATATTAAAGAGTTATCCTGTAAAAGGTTTTTAAAACACAAAATACATTAAAAACAACAACAACCGAGGTGAAAAAAAGTGACCAGTAAAATATTTCCATATTTTCAGGAAGAAACATTCCCCCCCCCTTTAATGCTGTGTATACTGTCATATTATACATCGTATCTTAATTCATTTTGGGATATGACAAGGTTCAGATCAGTTGTTCATAGGATCTCTATGAGTCATAGTCAATTTATTGACAACTGACAACAATAGCATTTTAGTTTAAACTTTTGTATTATGGATTTATTTCATGATAGATGCATTGTCATCTACTTTGAACTGACTCATAGCTCCAGTGGGTCTGTGGAGACTATAAATCATATGAGAGGAGATTATCCATCTTTCTCTCTGGTGGATTCAAATAGCTTGTATTTAGATTGGCAGCATAACTCCTTACCTACTAGGTTGCCCCAAATAATTTTGAGGCACAATGTGGTTATACATACAGGCTTTTAAAGAAATCCTTCCTAGTGTAAATTCGAGTTTAAACTTCACAAAGAATTATACTCATCATTTTCTTTCTTGAGTGTCTATCTTTCTAAAAATTTATTTATCATTTTCTATCATAAGTTCTTTTGGGGAAGCTGTGTAAAATTAACACAGGACTACTAGAGAGCTCTGGTGGCCTAGTGGTAAGAAGCTGCACTGCAGTCACGAAAGCATGCCGTTTGAATCCACCAGATGCTCCGTGAGAGGCTGAGCAGTCTCCTCCCATGTGATTTACTGACTCTGAAAACCTGCAGGAGGTTCAGCTATGATTGGTTCCAACTGGATGCTACACAGCAAGAACATTGTCATCATACTACCTGGGTTCAGATTCATTGGACTGAAATTAAAATGATTGCATTGTTGTTATTAAGTACTATCGAGTCATAGGTGACTCATAGTGACTCTATGAACGAAAGACCAGAACACTTGTGTAATTTCCATAGTTTCTCTAAGTTCATAGAGTCTCCAGATGCAAGCTATTTTGGAAGTAGATGCCACTCCTGCTTCCAAATTTGTTTTAATTGGGGAGCTCCACCAAATACTGTCCACCATGGGTAGCCATTATTGCATTTGACACATCATTGTCACAGTGTTTAACATCACAGCAACCAAGAGTTACCTTTGTGCAGCAAATTGACAGACCAGTGCTATACCACTTAGAAGACTACTTGACTAGAGACAATTAAAATCAGGGCTGAGGGCCATAGATTAAAATCACCCACATTTTGCTTGGTAGCATAATTTTCTATCCAATAGATAGAAAATAGGCCAATAGAGCTCTCTCTATGACTCACAACAGTTTAATAAACAACAGATCTAACCTTTGCCCTATCCTACACAATCCCCACCATTCGAGACATACTGGAGCTCATTGTTATAGTCCCCATATCAGTCCATCTTGTTTAGGATGATCTTCTCTTCTCCAACCTTCCACTTCTTACTGTCTGAGGTTAGGTTCTTAATATTTTGGAGCTTCCTGTTTCTCTTCCACACAGATAATTTAGAGTACTAAGTTTATATATAAACACGTGTACATGGTTAATCACTTATCTTACAATTCACCTCTTAGATCTGATTTTATTATCCAAACAAGGCCTGGCATAAAATACATATTCTTATAAATGTTAGCTACAACTTTTATTATTGTCTTAAGTTATTATAACATTTGACAGGTAGCTCTTATCCCTATTTCATAAGTGCGGTAACTGAAGCCAAAAGATGGTTTAACATGTTTAAGATGACACATCTCTTACTGTGCAGACACAAGGTTTACATTTGTCTGACCACAAAGACCTCAGAGCTCACCTACTGTGCCTAATATGATTGCTTCATTCTGGCAGCATAGTTAGAGATGGTTGAATTGGTAGGAGAGCCAGTTGTGTATCCACCGATAGAGCTTGCCTGATTTTTTTTTCCTTTTAAGTAGATATAATTTTGCTTCAGTAATATCTCCATGTGATTAAACCGAATTTCTCAGTAGAAGTTGTCATTCTACGAGACACAAAAAGGTAGGAAATAACAGGGGTTGAGTTTATTCCATTACATCAAGTCCTGTATTCCTGAGGAGAATTCTCACATGGAGAATCTTTTTAGCCTATGGCATAATGTATAATGGCAGGTGAACTTTACATCTGTTCCTTATATTTGGTGTATGTTGTATATTTCTTTATAATAGTTTGGTGTTATTACAAAGTAAATAAACCTTGTGTGAAACAGGGAAATAATAAATTCACTTCACTCAAGGGACATATTGATAATTTATCAGAAATTTCACCTTCATATCATCTTGAAGTATTGAATATCCAGTGACTGAGTTAGTGAGAGGATGTGTGTCTACATAAGAAGAATGACAGTAGCATTAAAAGAGAAGGATGTTAAGAAGATGTGGGATGGATGAAGGAGAACATTCTTGTCTCCAAGCCTGGGCAGTAAATAATTATAGTTCATCACTGTATCTTCTTCCTAATTCCCTCATTCCTGTTCCCTCAATGTTTAAAATGATCCCGTCTCTCCCTTCCCCTCCCTTCCGCTCCCCTCTGTCCCCTCCTCTCCCCTCCCCTCTCCTTCCCTTCCCTCCCATCTCTCTCCTTTTCTCCCTCCTTCTCTCTTTACATATTTTCTCTCTCTTTCTCTCTCTCACACACATATCCTATTTTCCTGTTATATATTCAGAATATTTTTACCTTCAGATTCCTACAGCCTTTTAAATAGTGAGCTAGTCCATTTAATGCAGGATGCAATTTTAGAGGGCAAATTTGGCTAGTTATCTTCGTTCTTCTCATCTAGGAAAGAGGTCTGCTGGTTAGTGGAAAGTCATTTTCATATGTTTAACTTATAGGAGCTATATTATTATCTAATATAAAGTCTTTTGTTTTATGAATGTCTTCTAGAAATAGGTTCTAGACGAGTTGTTGTTGTTAGGTGGTGCCAGAACTGTACATTTCCTTTCAGCAATGAAAGTACGTTTAGAATCAAAGAGGAAATAGCAGTCTATAATTTTTGACAGCCTTTGATCATTTTATTATGAAACTTTTTAAGTGCTTCATCATGTGGTTAATGATAAAACCAAACCCAAATATGTACCACTTGCCTTTGAATCAAATCTGACTTATTATGTGTAAGAATAGAATTCTGTTTCCATCACAGGGTGTTTAATGACTGATGTTTTAGAAATAGATTGCTAAGCTTTTTTTTCCTTTTTTTTTTTTTTTTTGTGAGGCACCTCTGGATGGACACAAATTGGCAATCTTTCAGTTACTAATGAAATATTTAGTGGTTTGCATCATCCATGGACTCTTTGTTTACTGACTGGAATGTATACTTGAGGTTGCTACTGGTTTTTTTTTTGTGGTTCAGTATTAGCTAATCTGATAATGTGCTTTATTCTTTTACAGCTGTCCCATTTCCTCCAAGTCACCGACTTACAGCAAAAGAAGTGTTTGATAATGATGGGAAACCTCGGGTGGATATCTTAAAGGCACATCTCATGAAGGAGGGCAGACTGGAAGAGAGTGTTGCATTGAGAATAATAACAGAAGGGGCTTCAATTCTTCGACAGGAAAAAAACTTGCTGGATATAGATGCTCCAGTCACAGGTAGGTCCTGAGGACATGACTCTTATCAGTTTATGTCCACTTTGTCTTTATAATAGCATATCAAAATTCTTACCAAGCAGTGAGTATTCCACTTTCTTATTTATCTTACTCTTTCGCTGTTAAGTTTGTGAAATTAAAAATTAAGGGTATTATATGTCTGTAAATATGTTCTTATTTTTCTTTGTTAGATATTTACAAATTATGATGTTTTGAAAAGTGATTTGCAGCCTGGAGGTGATGAAGTGATAGTGTAGTAATGCTGTAAATAAGAGCTTTGATAAAGTTAAGGGGTGGTGGTATTTTTCAGTAGAGATTTTAAATGGATTGGATAGACCTAGGATGTTAATTGGATGTTAATTTCTACTTTAACTAGTCATTTAGTCACTATGGAAGTCGTAAGAAAAGTTCTCAAGATGAGATTGCCTGACTAGATTCTCCCTCCTTCTCCTCCTCTGCTTCTTCCTGGTATCCCTTCTCTTCTACCACCACCACCACCACCACATCCGTCTTTTTACTCTCTTCCGTCTCCTCAACCACAATTCTAGATAAAGTGCAAATTTTCGAATCTCACTCAGCACTACTGAAACAGATTCCCTGTGATGAGACTTAAGATCTGTTTTTTTAATGCGATTTTTTTAATGTGCATTGTGATTCACATAGAAATTGAGATCTATAAACTTATTAAGATGGCTGAATTGGTCTCATTTCTTGTGTTATTTTGGTGCTTAGAAAAAGAAAGCTTTACTTTATGCATATTTTTTGTTCTACTTTCTATAGGCAAGTAAGTATTTTACATAAGGGTATAGGTAGAAAATCATTGCCATTAAATTGACTGACTCATACATAGATAGTGTCTTAGCTTAAAAAAATGGATTTTGTCAGAAAACTTTGTATGTATATGGAGTAAAATGGTAGAAATATTCTTTTACAGAGTTTAATAAGCATACTGCTTTGCAATTTTAGAGAAACTGAAGACATTTATTTCCCTCTTAACTACTATCATTTTGTGGAAAGGGAAAAGCATTAGAAAGAGTAGATTATCCTGTTTGGAAGACATTAGAAACTTTCTATTATTTCAGATACACAAGTGACTTTGTGTGCCTTCTAAATCTTTATGTACTCTAAGTATTCAGACATATATTTAAATGTTAAATGTTGAGAGATAAACTCTAGAATATAGGACTTTCTTTCAAAAAAGCTGTCTAGAATATCAGACATTCTCTGATGTGATTATCTTTAGTAACTCTTACAGTTGATAATGATGATGGTACAGAATAGGACAGGGTTCAGATCTGATGTCCATCAGGTTGCTATGAGTTGTACTCATCTTGACAATACCTAACTATGACATAATGGTCTTCCCTGGGTAGATAAGGGTACGTGGTTAAGCTGCCAACCCAAAGATAATGCAGTTCAAATCCACTAGCTGCTCTATGAGAGAAAGATGGGCAGTCTCCTCCCTTGCAGTTTGTTGCATATGAAAACCGACTGGAGGGTCAGTTATTAGTCTATTCCAACCCAATAGCACAATATAGCAACAACAGCATTCCCAAGAAATGGACATTATTTACATTTTGTTTTGTTTGGCCATAATGTTTTTCTTGTTAGATAGGAGACAGAAATGTTTATGGCTGGGATTAGGCACCAAGAAGCATGGACTTCAATGGTGTTGAAAAGTAAAACTGTTGGCGAACAAGATTAAGCTCTAGATTTCCCGTGTGTGCCACTATTACGTCCATTTTTCAATTTTAAATATGAAATTATACATTTGATCCAACTCATCAGTACTATAAAAGTGAAATTGAACATGCTTAGCTTTCATGTTCTTGTTGTTGTGGTGTACCGTTGAGTTGGAACCAACTCATAGTTGACCCTTGACAGGTTTTCAGAGGTGGTTAATTGCATGGAAGAATATTGCCCATCCAAAAACTTAAAAATCTATCTTAGCTCAGAATCCACCAACAAAACAACTACTTTGAAATGTAAGCAAAATAGAAACTTTGCCTATATAAAACAAATCAAACCAAAACTACTTTTGAGTTGATGCTGAATCATAATAACTCTTCACTGGATTTCTGAGACTATAAAATCTTACAAGGAAGACATTAGCCATCTCACTCCCAAATAATGATTTTTGGATTAGGATCTTTGGCCTTTCATTTAACAGGGGATGCCATAATTCAGTAGTCTCCAGGGATTTTTGCCTATATATTAAAAGTAAAGAACTCAGTTTAGAAGTTATTTGGTTTATTATCATTATTAGTTGTAGTTTGTTTGCATAGTTTGTATACATTGTTTTTCACACTATTTTTGATTTACATTGTGTTTCTTACACTCATTCTCAAGCATTATGTTTTATAAAATTAATCACCATTGGACCTTGCCCATCACTTACTACCCTGTCTTTTCACCTGGATCTTTCCCATTTCCTTTCCCTCTCCCTCCACCTGTCCAACTTGCAGCTCTTTGGTTTCAATGCTACCCATCTTCAGCCCTCTGACACCTTGAGTTTCCATACATGTTTTACTACTTATTCTTCTATTTTTACAATAATGATCTTATGCCGTATTTTCATTTTGAGACTGCATTATTAGTTCACTCATCATATTTCTCTCTAGCCTCTCCCAAGTTACATAGTAGTTTTTGCAATCATTGCTCCTGAATGTTTTAATAGTTTGAGGGATCTTTGGTGGTTTAGTGGTAAGGAATTTCATTGTGTTAATGCAAAGGTGCACGGTTCGAATCCACCAGTTGCGCTATAAGAAAAAGATGGCTAGTCTCCTCCCATGTGATTTACTGCCTCTGAGAACCCACGAGAGGGTCAGTGCCAGCTTTGCAGGTCACAGCAACATTAGCTTTAAACTCTATTATTAAACTTATTTTCTTCTGTAAGAATGAATTGCTTAGCATTTTATTATTCACCCATTTCTCCATTTCACATAATATGTCTTTTCTAAGGAAAAATTTGTTAGATGCAAAAATGAGCTAAGTAATTATTAATAAAATTGATAATCATAAGGAAAGCATACATGTGAAGCAGACATTAGGGCTTCATACTTTCTTAGTTGGTCTGGTAATCCTGTCAGACAGCTTTGTCTAATCTGTTCTGTTCCGAAAGAACACAGCACACAGGGTAGTACTGGATGTGTGAAATTAATGCTGTTTAGTTCCTGAACCCTGAGACCATCATTAATACATGTGTCTACCATAGGATTCAGTAGAGATCATACCTGGTTATTTCTACTGTAATATCCACCTAGGTAACATTTTGACAAGTTTCAGGGTGAAGATCAGAAGAAGAACTCATCTTGGAAATCACGACTACATTATGTATGCTTTCTCTGTGTGTGATGGGGGAGGAAGAAATCCAAAGTAATCCTTTTAAATAGTGACCAGAAATAGCTACGGAGACATCACAGAATATGCTGTACTAGTTATAATCCAAGCACGAGGAACCTTTTTGTAGGAAAGATTTGTATCTGATAATGATGACAAGATCTAAGTAGATTACATTTTCTGCTATATAAGGATAGAGAATTATAGTGACAGAGGGGGTGGAAAAATTATTTTAACAGTGGGATAAAAACAGAAATGAACTTTTTCATATAATTTGCTGGAATGTTATATTATGTAACATATCCCAAGCCATGATTTTCTGAGCCAATAACGGAAACATAGAGAAGTGTAAAAGAAAAGCAGAGAACATTGATCAGATAAAATCCGAAGCACTCTCAAATTGACTTACAGTGACTCTGTGATCAAGAAATCTAAACCTTGTCCTATTCTGCTCCAACTGTATGATCTTTGCCTTACTCACGCCTTTGTTAAAGTCACAGTGTCAGTCCATCTACTTGAGAGTCTTCTTCTTTTCCTCTGACTTTCCCAGCATGAAGTTTTTCCCCAAGCACTAATCCCTCCTGAAATGCCCAAACTTTATGAGACAGAATTTCACCATCTTTGCCTTTAAGAAGCATCCTGGTTCAAAATACTTCTATAAAGTTTTTTTGGATAAATTATTTTACCTCAAGATTTTCTTCTATGTGGACAGCCAAATGGGCAGTGTAATATTTTTTTTTCTATTTTAAGTATTTGTTGTTTGAATAATCACACCTATAAGTTTATACTTTACTATAACCAAGTGTGATGTTGTGAATAAAAATAAAATTTACACCAATATTTGGGTTTACAGTATTCATTATGAAACTCAAAGTACAAGGCTCAAACCCATCAGCTGTGCATTGGAGAAGGTTGGGTAGTCTCCTTCTGTGTGATTAACTGGCTCTGAAAGCCCATTCAAAGATCAGCTATGGGTTATTTCTGACTCAGCAGTACACAACAACAGTAACAATTCTTTATATGTAGTTTAGAATTTCACACTGAAGGTGGAGAATGTAAGACATAATTTTTATGAGACATTTTTCCAGAGGAAAAATGAGAATCAAGATGTAATAAAAGTAATAGAGGAAAAATAAGATACTGTTATTGTAAATCATACTAACTGCAGAAGAAGGATGTATCTTTTTAATTTGGGAAGAATGCCAAACCTGGATCCTGATGATTTTACCATTTTCAAAAGGTCCTAGGAAAAGTTCTTGCTGCGTGTATGTTTATGTTGTTGTTAGGTGCCATTGAGTCAACTACGATTCATAGAGACTCTATGAATAATGCATATGGACACCATTCTAATCTGTTCCATCCTCATCATCTCTGATATAGTCAAGTCCATTGCTAGATAGTGTATCAGTCCATCTAGTTTAGGGTCTTCCTCTGTTTTCTGACCTTTTCCAAGAATGATGTCCTTTTACAAGGACTGACCTCTCCTAACAACACTGATCAAATAAAACCACAAAGTATATGAGAGGAAGTTTTATCATCCTTGCCTCTAACAAGCCCCCTGGTTACCCTCCTTCCAAGACATATTTATTTTTTCTTTTGGCAGCCCATGGGATATTCTCCAATACCACGCCTCAAAAGCATCTGTTATTCTTTTGTCATTCGTT